GGTATTATAAATGATGAGGAATGCTAATATTGATATAAAATCGATATTTTTTTTTAAATAGCCTACTGCGATCGAAACCAAAAATGCTTTAAATTGCATTCTAAAACATATCTAGGTATTATAAATGATGAGGAATGCTAATATTGATATAAAATCGATATTTTTTTGAAAATAGCCTACTATGATCGAAACCAAAAATGCTTTAAATTGCATTTTAAAACATATCTAGGTATTATAAATGATAAGAAATGCTAATATTGATATAAAATCGATATTTTTTTGAAAATAGCCTACTATGATCGAAACCAAAAATGCTTTAAATTGCATTCTAAAACATATCTAGGTATTATAAATGATGAGGAATGCTAATATTGATATAAAATCGATATTTTTTTGAAAATAGCCTACTATGATCGAAACCAAAAATGCTTTAAATTTCATTCTAAAACATATCTAGGTATTATAAATGATGAGGAATGCTAATATTGATATAAAATCGATATTTTTTTGAAAATAGCCTACTATGATCGAAACCAAAAATGCTTTAAATTGCATTTTAAAACATATCTAGGTATTATAAATGATGAGGAATGCTAATATTGATATAAAATCGATATTTTTTTGAAAATAGCCTACTATGATCGAAACCAAAAATGCTTTAAATTTCATTCTAAAACATATCTAGGTATTATAAATGATGAGGAATGCTAATATTGATATAAAATCGATATTTTTTTGAAAATAGCCTACTGCGATCGAAACCAAAAATGCTTTAAATTGCATTCTAAAACATATCTAGGTATTATAAATGATGAGGAATGCTAATATTGATATAAAATCGATATTTTTTTGAAAATAGCCTACTATGAGCAAAACCAAAAATGCTTTAAATTTCATTCTAAAACATATCTAGGTATTATAAATGATGAGGAATGCTAATGAATTTTGAAAATAGCCTACTATGATCAAAACCAAAAATGCTTTAAATTGCATTCTAAAACATATCTAGGTATTATAAATGATGAGGAATGCTAATATTGATATAAAATCGATATTTTTTTTGAAAAAAGCCTGCTATGATCGAAACCAAAAATGCTTTAAATTGCATTCTAAAACATATCTAGGTATTATAAATGATGAGGAATGCTAATATTGATATAAAATCGATATTTTTTTGAAAATAGCCTACTATGATCGAAACCAAAAATGCTTTAAATTGCATTCTAAAACATATCTAGGTATTATAAATGATGAGGAATGCTAATATTGATATAAAATCGATATTTTTTTGAAAATTGCCTGCTATGATTAAAACCAAAAATGCTTTAAATTGCATTTTAAAACATATCTAGGTATTATAAATGATGAGAAATGCTAATATTGATATAAAATCGATATTTTTTTGAAAATAGCCTACTATGATCGAAACCAAAAATGCTTTAAATTTCATTCTAAAACATATCTAGGTATTATAAATGATGAGGAATGCTAATATTGATATAAAATCGATATTTTTTTGAAAATTGCCTGCTATGATTAAAACCAAAAATGCTTTAAATTGCATTTTAAAACATATCTAGGTATTATAAATGATGAGAAATGCTAATATTGATATAAAATCGATATTTTTTTGAAAATAGCCTACTATGATCGAAACCAAAAATGCTTTAAATTTCATTCTAAAACATATCTAGGTATTATAAATGATGAGGAATGCTAATATTGATATAAAATCGATATTTTTTTGAAAATAGCCTACTTTGATCAAAACCAAAAATGCTTTAAATTGCATTTTAAAACTTATTAGCTTCCGCCTGGAACACGGAAGGTGTTTCTTTATGTCGTTCAAATTTTGTCACAATATATAATATTGTAATAATATATAATATGTCAAAATTTAGCCCTTGTCGTCTAGAAGGGCGGAAATTATGGCGCTTTGCATGAACTTTTTTTTTGATACCGTAGTGCTTAATGAAAGATTTTCGCGAAATCTCCATGCAAACACTACATTTGCTTTAACTTTTTTTTAAAGCCTTATATCAAAAAATAGCTGGTGGTTTAAAATGTTTTACATCTTCTCAGGAATCGATTGATACCAAAATCATAATTTTTAGTGCTAGTCCTGATCAATTAGAACGAAAAAAAAACAAGCTTTTTTGGAGGCCTAAATTATAATTGTTTTGGTGCACTTGTTTTAGAAAACTATTAAATGAATCATTTTTTGTAATGTAGGGCCTTAAAAGACCTATCCCATGATACTAAACATGCTCCACTTCCATCAACACATGAGTAGATATAACGATTTCAAATTTTAATTCGATGGATTTATTTTAATCCTCTCTATATTTATTACGAAATCAAAAATGGTTTAAAATTTGTCACCCAACCTACAGCTTGCAACTCAAAATCAATCATATTGATATGTATATCAATATAGTAATTTTTTTGTTGATAGTAGCTGGTCTTAATCCAGTAACACGGATTAACTAGTGCTTGATCTCCATCATTAATCCTGACTTATTTATTGTATTGAAATTATTTGGAATATTTACACCGTATTTTTGTTGGTTCACGTTCTTTTGCAATTCTATTGGTTTTGTTCAGATTGAAAAATCAGTTTTTGCATTTTTGAGAAAACGATGCAAAATTGATTATAAAAGGTTCCAGAAGAAAAGTTTGTGTTTAAAAATTCACATCATCTGCAAAAAATAAGATTTCAATTTGGCATTGCTTAGAAAATCACAAAATACGCTTTATGTAAGCAAGCAAACAAGCATGCAAGTTAATCAGCAAGAAATCTCAATAACGAGACATTGTAAAGACTTCTGGTTTTCTACATTTGATCCATGCTGCTCTATAGAAGAGCTGTATTGTTTTTGGGCAAGGTATGAATAGCCGTTGCTTCAGAAAAAGCAAAAAACTTTCCTTTCTTACGAATTTTTCAAGACAAAAGTTCACTGTGATTTTTAAAAAATTAAACTTTGGACGAAACTTATCCTGAGCCAAGCTCACCTGACTCGCTAGCTTTATACCTTCAAATATATGGTGAGCGAAGCTCAGCTGACTCGTTAGCATTATACCTTCAAACTTATGCTAAGCAAATCTTGGTCTATCCATAAGACTTTTGATGGGACGGTGTGAATATATCCACATTGGGTTTACCCGATACACTTATTTTCGTTTTGTGATATATATATAAAAGAACTGTAATCTAACATAAGTCAAATGCGGAAGCTAGTTACTTTCTTCGTAAGTCGTGTTTTTCTAATTTGTTGGAAAAATATTGTGCACAAGGAATTTTTGAAATTTTTTCCGAATCTGAATCATTGTGCTTTTTTCGATCCAAACGAAATTCAGGGTTGCGGAACTGATGAAATGATCAAAAACAGAGTTGAAAACTGTCACTTACCTTTTCACAGGCACAGATCTGCACACAGATATATCAGATCTGTGCCTGTGACAGGCAAAGAAAAATCACAGGCACTGTCTGTTAACAGACAATAACTGTGAAAGATCTGTCACTTATGCTTGCTACAGGCGACCTACATATTTCGCAACTCTGATCAAAAATGATCAAAATCTAATCTATCAGTTCCACATCCCTTTAATAGTTATTTTTCAACGAAAATTTAAAAAAAAAAATTTTGGACCGTTAATTTTCAAATATTTAAGGGGTGTGCAAAAAATTAAAGACGTCCTAATTAAGGAGATTACTTCGAGGTTCTTCTCAAAAAACCTTACATATTGAATAATTGTCTCTCCTCTTAATAGGAAGTGGTGACCCCAAACCTACCCTCAAACATCAGACTTCGTCATTTTTATGTGAGCTTGATTTCAAATTTTAATTAATATTATCATAGTCTTCTCATACTTACTATTTGCTCACATTCAGAGGAATTATGGAATCAAATATTTATTCTATAATATGAGTCACAATGTATGAGATAATAACTCCAATCTACTTCTGGTTTCATGTACTTAATTTTTTTTTCAAGTCAATTATAAAACACAGGAAAAAGTTCAATGATAAAGAATAAATTGCGAAAAAATTCTACAGATGTAGAAGCGATTTTATCGGAAAGTAAACATTAATAAAACATTTCACGGTAGCGGAGGAATTAAAGTACGAAGGGGTAATTAAAAAAGTTTTAAATTAAAACAATTTGTGGTTTGATTCTCATTAGTTTGAGGAAATGGAAAACTTTATTATCGTTATGATTTAGTGCTACATTGTCAGAGGAATTATAGAAATTTTTCATTGAATAATCTAGGAATGTTTAGGAACTTGAACTTGCATTTTTCAAAAGTTATCTTGAAATTAAGGTTTTTAACATTTCTCTTGAGTTTTTGACCTAGAACAGCAGCCTTGTTCAATACCACATCTCATAAAGTGTGCATAAAATGACTTTAGTGACGTCCTCAATTCTTGATGTCAAATTTATTACTAATACTAGCTTCAGAAAAGCTCCATAGAGGGTTTCATCTCAATAAGTGGCTCTGGAATTCTCAAAAGCATTCAATTTTGTTATAATCAACCTATTTTGACGCCTTAAAAAGTCATTTTGAGTAGTGTTACCTTCAAATAACATCCATTGATATCTTTTTGTACGGTAACAGCTCAGTCCGTCGTACAGATCAATTTTGACTCATCTCCTCCTTTTAAAAAGAGCCTTAAAGTTACACTATCGTTGGCTACGGATTGCGAATAAACAATTCTTGGTCATAGTCACAGCAAAGTATCTATCAATAGGTTCCAATACCATAAGTTCCTAAAATGACACGCCAAGACTTGAACCCATACATTTTAGATCATCTTGCGATTATCGATCGTCACCTTACCACCACTTTATTAAGCTAAATCAACTCACAAGCTATTATTTATGATCGCCACAAAAACCTTCAATCAACCTCGTGCCTATCAAATAACGATTATGCCACTTAGATGAATAAAAAATGGAAATGACCTATTTATAGAAAAACTTCTGATAAACATAACACAAGACCGAACAACATTAATAATCATCAAAAAAAAGTAGGAAAGGTTTTTAGTTCCATCAATAACACTGATAAGGATAAACTGAGTAAATAAAAATGTTGATAAATTGTATACAAGATCCATGGCATACAGCACAGACTTTGTGAATTACATCTGACGACCTTCACAAAAATAAAAATAGTTCAAATAAAAATTTATTGTCTACGAGGAATTAAGTACACGAAATAATTAATCTGTGTATTTATTTTATTATTTTATTCGGCATAAACTATTTGGGGTCGTTCATCAGTGACGTCTAGAATTTGAGTTTAAAATAATAATAATAACATTCCTTTATTTTAATTGATGGAACATTTTTGGCGGAAAAAAAAGAAAATTATCTTGATATTAACCTAGAATTCAAGGAAAGGGTATGTAGAGCAAGACGAGACAGGTGAAGTTAATGATATGCAGGTACAAGGGGCCAAGGCTGAAGCAAAAAACAGGGCTAGATATTTGAGAGGGGGAGGTGATCCGAAATCTCAAAGGAGGGTCCGGAATTATTTTTTATGCTTTTCTTTTTTGAATTATCTTTTTAATTTGAAATTCAATCTCAAAGGAACGGAGTGGCAAGGTCTTCCTGACTACTAACCTTTTGCAGCTACTCTCATTGAAGCAGGTTAAGTCAATTCCTCTCCCTTTCCCACCTTTTAACTCAATATGTTGGATCTCAACAGTAGACGTAATTGATGAACAACTCCCAACACACCAGGAAATACAAGTGTGTAGACACAAATCTATGCGCATTGATAATAAGTTTGATAATTATCAAGGATTTACGGGGTGTCGTGAATTATAATTTCGAAAACATCTGCGAAAATAGGGCAGCACTTGTGTTGTGAAATTCGTAAAACTCGATGACTGGCTGTTCCCAAAATTCTTATCAATGCACACGTTTGACATCGCAGATACAGATTTCAAGTTATTGCCGAATGAGTCGAAAAATCCTTCCTGTATACCATTTATAAAATTAAATGAAATATCGAGATACTTGACTTTCGTATTGCTGGCCAATAATTGATTATCAAGTTCAGTTAATCGATTATTTGGGATATAAAAATATTCAACATTCGAGAGGCTGTCAAAAGAATGCGGATCAATTTTCGTTATGCGATGCCATGACAAATCAATTTGCATGAGTTTGCTTAATCCGGTGAAAGTGTCTGCATTTATTTCTGTTAAATGTCCAACACTTATCATTAAGTACGGCAAATTTCTTAGGTTTCGGAATGTCCCAGGATTCAGTTTTGTTATTTGAACCTTATAAATTGTCAAACGATTCAGCTTTGTTAATGACAAGAAAGTATCTGGATGGAATTCGGAAATTGGTGAGCGATAGATGTAAAGTGCTGAAAGATTCCAGGAATTCAGGAACAAATTCTTATCGAGTTGTTGCAAATTATTACTTCCGATGAATAATTGAACCATTGATGACAGTGGCGATAAAATTGCCGAGTTCAGTTCCGACATCGAATTTCCTTGTATATCTAAGTACCATAAGTTTCCTAGACCAATAAATGCATTTGGGTCAATTGAGTCGATTTTATTATTAGCAAGTCGAAGATACAGCAAGTAAGTACATTGTTCGAAGACACCAGCACGTAATTCAGTGATTAAGTTCCCATCCAAATTCAAATCCTTCAAATGTCCACAGCCATCCAGAGATCTTTCATTAACAGCTTTCAGTTTTGCATTTGCTATCTCCAAATATCTTAAATTCTTAAATGTGTCAAGGATCTGCCACGGGATGTAGCTAATCTCGGAATTCTTGAATGTCATTACTTCAACGGTACTGTCACTATCCAGAGGAAAGTGATCTCCTTCAATTCTAAATTCTTCATATTCATTAAGATAACTTACACCCGTTGCTTCACATCCATATCCTCGATAGTCATGGAAATCATAATCGCAATAGCAATCTGATGAAGATGACAAGGATATAGAGTTGAATAGGAATAATGAAAGGACGGAAATTGTTTTTCTGTGGAAAATAAATTGAAAAATATTTTAATCAATGATGGATTTTAATTGGATATTTCTTTTGTTCAGGAAATGTCACGTGGGGATGCAATGCTGAGTTTATAGGTTAGGTTATTAATTGTTAAATGCACTCCTGCCACTGTATGTTCAGAGAACTTAGTAGCTCTTCTCTCGTAAAGTGTTTAATAACTTTTATTGCTTTCTTGATACAGATTAATCCAGAATTGGTCTGTTGCCATCTACTGTAAATCATCATCATCCCCAGCTTGACTACGTAATTAAAGTTTAGTAGATAGCCTTTGGTCAGCTTCTGAGTTAGACTTTAGTCTTTCAAATGTTCCCGTCCATTTATGAGTCAATAATAATTATGACATTCACTTTAAGATCTCTACCCTTACAATAAAAGTCCCTAGATCTTCTTAATTAACAATCGAATACTTACAGGAACATCGTTTCACTTTGAAGTAGGGAAACTTGTTATGAATGAAGGCATTACTTTACGAGTATTTATAGGAAAATGATAAAAATAAGTTTTACTGTTTTTTACAAATAATCACAAAGAATATAACTTCTCTAGAAAATGCCATTAAAACAAATGGTTCTATTTGTCAGTAATGTGATGCTTGTTTATTTGATCCTATTTTCCTTCTATGAAGTGTGGTCCTGTGATGTATCTGAGAACTGCAGCAGTAAGGGATTTCAAAACCTAATAATCTTCGTTAATACAACTTTTGTGTCTACATTGAATACAGACTCAATTGTATGGAGGAACAGCTACATTTCCAATAGTAAAGAAGCATCACTGATATTTAAGCAGTCAAATATGACAAAATGTTCCCATGAATCCCACAGGAAATCACAGAACAAAAGACTTTAAATATTTATTTTTCCATTCAACTGAAAAACATCAGCTTTTCCTCAGGTGATTCCCATTAATTCTGTTATCATTTTGGCATGTGTTTGTGTGTGCAAATGACTTAATCAGAACAGACCGCAGCGTCAGTGAATATTTTCATTGTTTAATTTATTAATTCATTTATTTCAATTCAGCTACACACAGCATTTCAATTTATTTTCTGTAACTCGACAGCATGCTACTGAAGTTAAAAGTTAATAGCATGATTGCCTTAACATAAATATCAGACAGAGTCGTAATGTATGAAAAAATAATTAACCGAGAATTTTTTAGAGGTGTGTACGTTAAATCAACAGCACCATTATTCGAATGACGAGCAATCATAAGCATTCAAAATTGATGCCAAATAGCATTAATCATTAGAACAAGACACAAATCGAATTAGCATGCAATCAGACTTCAAAGCTAGAAGTCATTGATAATTATTTAATGAAAATTTAACTTTTAAATTGAAATAAAGTATCTCGAGCATGCTATTCATGGAAATAAGTGTGAATGACCTTAACGTCTCAAGTAGATTCTCGTATTTCCTTTTCTCTTATTACAGTCATTTTCTAATTTATTCTCTTCTTACTGTCTTTACAATTTTTCATTCTTTTACTTCCATTTCATTTATCCACTATACTCTACATAAAGGTACTTCTCTCTCATCGGTAAAGTTACTGACTGATTTTTCTTCTATTTTATTTTAAAGCATGGTACGATAGAAAAGTTGTTCTATTGTGCTATTTTTGACTTACCGAAGGATTGGCAGCTTTTAATGGAATTTTTTTATTGACACAAAAAGGAGCGGTTGGTTAATGAGCTGGATTCTTCAAACTTTAATGAAGTGAAACAAACTTAAGATTTTACTCTAATTTACTATTATTCAAAAAAAATTATAACAGCTGTAAAATTATAAAAATTAGCATTGCCTAGCTTTGTCGGTGTTCCATAGATCCCATTAATAATGTTCAGTTCCTTAATGAAGCTTTTAATTGATAGTTTTCAAAAAAAACTTTTTATTTTCACAACAATTTCCGAGTGTTTAGTATTTTCTCGATTTTCCCGAAAAGCAAAATAACAAAAAACCATTTTTACGAATTTTAAATTTTACGAATGTACATTTTTACGAAAACTTTTATAGTAAAAACTTATAGGATCAAATTTAAATTCCCCATAAACTAAGAAAAAATATTTCACATTCAAATAAATGCAAATTTTTTTGCAGTTCTATTAATCCTTAATCTTTTATTAATTATTAAATCATCTCTAATCGCATTTAAATGATGAAATTTGTTTTGATTGTCTTAATATTTGATTTTATCCAACGGTTTTTTGAGATTCAAATTATATCCTATAAGTTTTTACCATAAAAATTTTCGTAAAAATGAACATTCGTAAATTTGAAAATTCGTAAAAATGGTTTTTCGTTATTTTGCTTTTCGGGAAAATCCAAAACACTCACAATTTCCAAATACTTTCTGATATGACTAAACTTGCAATTAAATATACCGAGAAGACAAAATTCAAATATAAATAAGCCGTTAATTAACAATCATTTAAAATCAAACTTAATGCGCTTTAATTAGGGTTTCTGAAAAACGGCATTTTCGAAAACGGCCGTTTTCCGTTTTTTATTTTCAAAAACGGCCGTTAACGGGCCGTTTTAAGTTTTTTAAGGGTAATTCCATGAGAAATTTTTGTAAAAAAATTTACTTAAAATTGATTTTTTTGCATATTTATGCTTTTCAATAGATATTAAGACTTCTACAGCACATGTAAAAAGTCATAAGCTATATGATTTGACATTAATTTTCTATCTAAAGTGGTTAATTAGTCCAAAAAATTGATTCCATGAGCGTTACTTGGTAACGCTATAAATGTTACCAAGTAACGCTCATGGAATCAATTTTTTGGAATTATTGATCACTTTAGATGGTTTTTTAATGTCAAATAACATACCTTATGGCTTTTTACACGTCCTGTGGAAATTTTATTAACTTTTGCAAAGCCTAAGTATGAAAAAAATCAATTTAAAGAAAGTTTTATAGCAAAATTATAGCATGGAATTACCCTTAAATAACCAAATATAAATGAAATATTCCTCAAAAGATAAAGAATTGCTGTGCTATATAGATAATATGTAGAAAGTCTTAAGTTCTATTTGTATTTATTATAACTATTTATTCATTTTATTATAATAGAACTTAAGAAAAACAAGAGCATTTAGTGATGCATCAGCCAGCCTTGAACGAATCTTTGTGCAAAAATTATTGCAGATTGAAAATATTCGCTCTACATCTGTAGGCTTAATACACAACAAAGCATCATAAAGTTTTTGAAGATTTTCCGATCGGTTTCCTGTATTTTTGAAAAGAACAAATTCATCTTTCATCCATTTGAATTTTCGAGTATTTTCTTGAGGTATTGGTTGGCTTTCATTTTTCAGTACGATTTTATATTGTTCAGCCAGTGACACATTTTGAGGGCTTTCTGTTTGGGAATTCGAATCTACATCTTCTTCGTTTTTGTCATTTGGTCCAAACAGCTTTTGAGACAATTTTCCAGCAAAGTCCAATGTTGCTTTCGATGGAGTAATCGATGGATCTTTTAGACTTCTTAATAAATTCATTACCGGTGAATTCCATCTTTCATTAATTCTTATCTTTAACTTATTTAACAGTTCGGCGCTTATGTCGTTCTTCATTTCAGCTAGTTTTGTGTAGGTAAAATTAATTAAAGTGTCTGCTGTCAAAAGTGTAGCATCCTGACTGCTTAAATGTTTAACTAGCAACTCGATTGGTTCTAAAGCATCTAAAAGATCTTTTAAAGCACCAAAATCCAACTCATCAATTATCTCAAGTGCATTAAGTTCAGAAAAGGTGTCGAACAGGCAAACTTTTGTCGTAATTAAAGGCCTAATCATTGCACCTATTGAGTTCCATCGATGCTTAACATCTAATTGAAGTTCTCTTTCTTTTCCTAATAATGCTTTGACCTTAGTTTGGAACACATGATTTCTAACTGTTGAGTTCTTGATAAATTTGACGACTTCACGTGATGTCTTTAAAAGTTGATGAAAGTCAATTATGTCCTCGTCCTCATCATCAATTAATTCAGTCGAAAATCCTTCATCATAGTCATCTGTATCGTCTGTTTCATCATTTTCATAGAATGTTAAATTGTTTGAATCCGTTCTTCTTTTATATAATGTATCAACAACGGCTAAATGTATAGCATGATTAAAGCAAAACTGTCCAATAGTGTCCATTATTCTAATGTATTTCTTGTTAATCGCAGCTCCATCCTGAGTAGATCCAACCAAATCACATTCGCCAATTCCAAAGGATAATAAATGATCTTTTACAGATTCGACCATAGCTTCTGCAGGACATGTTCCAAATATTCTTACGATTCCACATTTGTATGTTTTCTTCTCAAAACTATCATGTAAATTTATGCCAAAATATCGTCGAGATCTAGAAGACGTGTACTCATCAACTGTCAGGGAAAACTTTGCTCCTTGTTTTATTTTCCCTTTTATTTCTCCAACCATAATTCCTTTCTTTTGTTTAAAATCCTCGATAATCAATTTCATTACATCACTTTCGTTTTTTGGTAGCTTAAAACCTTCCCTCTCAATGGATCTGCGAATAAAATCATTCCTAGTAATAGCTCGGATAGATACTCCATCAGTTGCTAGATCCGAGACAATTTCTTGAAGCGTTTGTTGTTTTACGAAGTCTAAAATGCTCTTTTGCTTTTTTTCACTAGGTCCATCGATATTTTGTGTTTTTTTCTCAGCATCAATAATTATTCCATGAGTTTTTAGATGATTTTTGAAACTAGAAACTGACTCCTTGTTGCATTTTATAACACTGGAACAAAAGCTACATACAGCCTCAGTTTTCTTTGTGATTACATTTTTTCGCTTGATTCCATAACCCCAAAGATCCATGTCTATTAAAAGAAAATAATTATTAATAAATTAAAATCCACAATTTCTACCGAAAGAGATTGATATTTTCAACTGAATATATTATCGGTAATTATTCTATATTGCTTACCTAATAAATTGCGACGAAAACTTTATAATACACTATAATATTGTTTCACCTTGCCAAAAATTTTCAAAAGGGGTTTAAACTAGACTTTTTTTTTGCAAATACGATAAAAAATCAAATATGAAAACCCGTTATAAATTCTTGAGTCCAGATTTTGATTTGTTGCATCTAAACAACAAGCAAAACTGGACTCGCAACTATGATTACATTTCTGATTCTAATATACTACTTGAAATGAGATTTTCAAACTTTCCAGGCAATCCATAATAATAAATCTCAATTGCAAAAACTTTTAACTGTTTTTGAGAATAATTTTTAAAAGAAATAAACAAAAAAAATTTTTAAAATTACATTGTATGAACTATGAGAAAACGGAAAAACGGAATGAAAAACGGCCGTTTTCCGTTTTCAATTGTTGTGCCGTTAACGGCCGTTTTCCGTTTTTCGTTAACGGCTTCAGAAACCCTAGCTTTAATCACTCAATCCAACCATCCTACATAACCTGAAACTCTTCAAATATCTTCT